TTTTGGTACCTGTCATAGAATTGACCTATTGTCTTTCTTCCTTGCTCTTGGCGCTTTGGCCATTGTCTCTTGTCCTTGCCATAAAATGGCATTTGTTCAATTTCTACTTATTATATTGTTGCCTTTATTTTTCGCAGAGATTAGTCACAAAGGGCTATATACCGTACGTTTTAGCTGGCGCCAGACGCACAGTAGGGAAACTCACAGATAAAATGCAGTACTGCTGTGTCACAGATTCCATAACAACAATTGAAGAAATTACTTACTACATATAACGGTTACGAAGTCCAGTGCAACAATTCATCATATTTAATCCACTGTTTGGCGCCAAATGCGTATTTGCCTTGTGTAGCAGACGGCAGATTGGCAATTTAAGCACCAGGCAGAAGTTATATCAAAAACCTTGGTAGCCTGAGACAGATGCGTCACAGTGGCCGCGTCTTGATGTTGACACATGCCACAGAACGTGTATGGCGATCCATTGACCAGTCTTTAGCCACTTGTCGTCGTGGCTACAACTGGTTTGAATTCTTAATTTGCGTGCTGGACGATATGATACTCATACACATGTACCTTAGGGTTTTATGTATGTATACTTGCTTGGGACGTCTTTTATTGTCTTAAAGTCGAAAGATGTGCTCAGCTGTCCTGTGTCCTTTCGGATCGTGTCAATCGAAAGGTGCACAACAACTTCCACTGTTGATATGCTGTCGGGCATTCATCGCCGTCTTGCCTAAACTAATTGCCGCATATGCGGTTGTGCTTGTCAGGTGCTTTTGCATAGGTTCTTTTGAAATTAAGCCAACAGCAGGTAAATCGACCTGTGATGATACACAAACAGATTAAACAGTAAATGTGTAATGCAAGTACGCTTCTTAATATTGCCAAAAATTCAATTCTAAATATATTATCAAGTGTGTTCCCAGCTTTTCGGAAAATGAATGGGATGGGATGTTGGATTAAATACATGTATATTTGTGAATGAAACCACGTTTTTTACATCGGAATCAAATATTTAAAAGTTTCCTAACAATAAGAAAAATACCGCTTAACTTCAGATAAATCTTTTAGGACACCATTAATTATTTTATGGTAACGTATGAATGTATGTAATTTATCAAGTTGGGTATGTCCTTGAGTATGCACATGCGTGTTTGATAGTAATAATGTACATACTACTGTTGTGGTCAGTACCTCACTTCTCTGATCGTTCTTTGCGTTGTGTTTTGAATTTGCCGTTGAGTCTAACTTCATGTATCAGCACAGCTGTTATTTATTCTTAGCAGCAATCTGTTGACTTAGATTTCAATGTAATAAAGCCTACATCTACATCTGTCAATACAAAAATGTTCAATGACAACAAAACACGATGACTGATGTTGGCTGCTGTACAAATATAAACGTTTCATACTGTCGATCAAACTCTTATGTAGAATATTGCAATATCTACTTCCGATATTATGCATTTTTTGATTTACAATTTACTTACTTAATAGCCGTTTTTACAAAGAATCTTGTAAATATTCAGTTGATGATATTATGTGCTTAGTTGCTTCAAAAGATAATGGGCGTCAGACGAAACATACAAAAAGAAAATTGTCTCACTTGTACAATTTATACGCATACCTACATATGTACGATCGTTCATATGTATGTGCATATATATGTACGAGGTGTGTTCAAAAAGTATCGCGAATTTTGTGTTTTTTCAAATATTATTTATTTATTCATGAATATCTATTTTGTCCCCTTCAAAGTAATCCCCATGAGATATTATACACTTGTGCCAACGGTTTTTCCAATCTTCGAAGCACTTCAAAAAATCATTTTTTTTTATCTTGTTCAGCTCCTCCTTCGATCCCGTCTTTATCTCGTCAAGCGTAGCGTAACGTCGTCCTTTCATGGGCCTCTTCAGTTTAGGGAACAAGAAAAAGTCACAGGGGCCAGATCTGGGGAATACGGTGGCTGCGGCATCATTAGTGTGTTGTTTTTGGCCAAAAAGTCGCGCACAAGCAACGATGTGTGAGCAGGGGCGTTATCGTGGTGCAAAAGCCAATTTTTGTTCTTCCACAAATCCGGGCGTTTCTGGCGGATTGCTTCGCGCAAATTGCGCATAACTTGCAGGTAATATTCCTTATCGACCGTTCTACCCTGTGGCAAGAACTCATGATGCACTACGCCCCTGCAATCGAAGAAAACTGTCAGCAAAACTTTCACATTCGACCGAACTTGGCGCGCTTTTTTCGGTCTTGGTTCGTGCGGCAGCTTCCATTGAGATGATTGAGCTTTGGTTTCCACGTCGTAACCATAAACCCACGATTCGTCACCAGTTATGACCCTCTGGAGCAAATTTGGGTCGTCGCGGACAGAGTCCAACATCTCATTAGCAATGTTCATGCGATGCTGTTTTTGGTCGCAATTGAGCAATTTTGGTACGAATTTCGCGGCGACCCGTCTCATGCCCAAATCATTGATAAAAATCGAATGGCATGAGCCAATCGATATGTCTAGCTCCTCAGCAACTTCTCTAACGGTGATTCGACGATTGGCCAATACCATTTTCTCCACTCCATTAATTTTTTCGTCTGTTGTTGAAGTGCTCGGGCGTCCGGCACGCTCTTCGTCGTTCACGTCTTCTCGGCCTTCTGAGAACATTTTGTACCACCGATAAACGTTGCTTCGGTCCAAGGTAGCTTCTCCGTATGCCACAATCAACATTCGGAATGCATCCGCGCACTTAATTTCGTTTTTCACACAAAATTTGATACAGGTTCTTTGATCCATTTTTTTGAATAGGTAAAAATCGAAGACGATCCAAAACACGTGCAAGCAAAGCAGCTGTCAACAATTAAGTGAACATTCAAAATGGCCGAGCTTGTCGGCATAAGTGAGAGACATGAGTACCAACATAACGCTACAAAAAAATCGAAATTCGAATATACGTAACCCGCGAAAATTCAAAATTCGCGATACTTTTTGAACACACCTCGTATATTCTACATATGCGAAACCGAGCAACAGATTGTCAGAATGTCACTAAGTGGACTTTTTCGAATATTCTTGGCACTGTGATGCTGGCAACTAACTGGGCAGCTTAGTTGTCGCCAAATGCAGTCGCATCTGTCATTCAACTGTTGACGTCAGATGAAAATGAAACCAATGGCCAATAGCGACTATGATTTCTGGCACAAAAGTTGAATCGCGCAACCAAAGGAGCCACCACAGGCACAGACCACCAAAAAGCGTTGGCGCCAACGCAAAAGAAAAACATACAGCTATAATACACATTTTATGATAAGCATCTGTGTGCATGTACATAATTCCTACATATATAACAGTAAAGTACACTTTTACAATTTAAGTTAGTTGACAGAACATACGAAATCTGCAGTCGGTCGTTACTGTATCATCAAATTCTATTCAAATCGATAATTATGATTTTCTATAAATAACTTAAGTTGCAACTCTATAGCTTAACGAATAGCTGCGTACTTCACACATACATATCTACATATCTGTATATCAAATAGCTGATCTAAGAGCGCTTTGATTAATAAGTGTTCAAGAGCATTGCGTAGTCTGTATGCTTTCATCATTTAATTTAATTTCATTTTGGCAGCAATGGGATCATTTGCTTACCGAGTGACCGAAGTGATATGAACTCATCAAAAAGTGAGCCACATGGCAGTTTATTTCAATTTGCATTCGTTTCCGGTAAAACTGTTGTGCATGGGCCATAAGTTTTCACTTTCAAACACAGCTGGCAGCTGCTGCAGAGATTTTTATAGATATAGAACACACTGCACGCATTCCTGCTTCTTACAAGCTTTAACATGCTGTGATCACCACATTAGCAGCTTCAGTATCAGGGCGACAGTTTTGTTTTCTTTGTGGGTGTTGAGGAAATTATGGGGTAAGTGGTGGATACAAATACATATATATGCTAGACGGCTTGTGTGTATCCCAAAACAGCGTTCCCGTTTTGTCTGAAGTTAGTTTATAGGTAGATTCATATACACAAATATATATGTACAATATAAATATAGACCGCTAGTTAGCCGTAAGCCGATTATCGTGTAAAATATATTTAAACTGAGAAGTGCCCAAATTTACCGTTGACTTCGTTTGTCACCGCAAAGTGTTTTAAAATATAAAGCTCATAGCATACATTCATTGTATATTTAAGGTTTCCATGTACATATGTACATATAAATATCTGCACTGAAATACATTTGTGTACGTATATACATATATTTATTTATGAATAATTTTTAATTGTTGGCTTGTACATTTTTTTTATCATTATATTATATTCTCAGGAGAAAAATATTTTTCAGCTTTAATGTCTTCGTAAACAATTAAAATTACAAATTAATAGTGTCTTAATCTGTTTTAATGTGGTGTTAAAATGTCGCGCGTCGGCCACGGCCGGCTGCACGACGACAAATTATGACAAACTGTGTGCAATAATTCCACTCACATATTCGAATACATTGTATACACTCATACAGGCATCGATGTCACCCCACAATTGTTTATGTGCGTTTTACCCCAGGGTTACGGCTTTGGCCGTTTACGTTCAATCCATAAATTGTCACATCTTGAGGTAAGGCAATCTATGCTTTGATTTTTGTGAAAGATTCGCATAGGAAAATTGTATGTTAAATTATAATTTATTATATATTATACTGCCACATAAATGTCCAATTCTCTCTTTAAAAGAAATATCAGCTGGGACTATTCGCGATTTTAGATGCCGAGTTAAGACGCATCTGCACATAGAAGCATGCATACATAAATTTGTTAACTGTCGATGTACTTTGAAATTCATTCAAACTACAACATGACAGTAAAAGAAAAATCAGCTAACCGCCACAATTTATCGGTCAACTATCGGGTAGTTTACTCGTAGCTCGATATTTTTATGGGCCTCTGCTCTTAGTTTGATTTGCAATTATTAAAGAAATATCTACTGATTTTCTTTGATTTCTTTAACAAAGGTTCATAATGTCTTTCGCCCAGAGGTCATTTGTGCAAAAAGTATCAAAGTAAGTATAGAGTTATAAGGCAAAGCCGGCATTACAGCAACCGCGCCCTTTTAACGCAGTGGTCTGTACAAATGAATGCGCTTGTCCGTTTCCTTTGTAAAAATGTATGTATATGTATCAGGCAACCGGCTTCTGATGTGAGGAAAAACATTAATGTCCATATGCAGTCAAAGACCACAAGTTCCGCAGCAATATGCTCATCTACGGTAAGTTTGTGTGGCTCACCAAGCAATTGTATCCAAGTCACTAACACTTTATTGTTATCAAGCTTTCCCTCACCGAACCACTTGATTATGAAGAATTTCTGACTCAACACATGAACATTATTAACCGAGATCCGCTAAAGCACATCTTGGATTTTCCCCAAGGAGATGTTTCAGTGAAGATAATACCGCGGAAAATTCGCACTATCGATCACATTATACCCAAAGAGAATATGTAAGTAATATACATTTGAATGGTATTATTTCATTCAAGTATAATATTTCAGCTCTGATTTACCAAAACATTTACAAGAGTGCATTCGTTGCTACACTCGTCCTTGGAAAGTTGTGGAATATGCAGAACGCCATTACTCGAGCTCTTGTTGTGCCCGAGAGCGTATTGATCGCGAAACTATCAGCACATCGGCATACCAGCAAGAATTTGAGATTGACAAAGATTTCTCCTCGTTTGACGAAACGTTCATCGATAAGAGCGAAAGCTGCACACCTAGTTCAAGACAATCAATAGCCAGCTTAGCATCAGTTAGTTCTTGTACAGATACACTTACTCCTCGTAGTTCTTGGGCCAGTTTTGATTTAAGGCGTTCAATTAATGACCCTCTTATACCCAATTTATTGGATAACGTACCGTCAGATCAAATTGATCAATTAAATGACGCACGGCGTCAGGACGAGCGTCAATCTGCATTTTTTTCACTTTATCCAGAAAATGAAACTGAAGAAGTTATTGAGCGCAGATTACCTGCCGAGCTGCCAGTGGAACATATGGGTCATCGTATACAGATAAAATGTCTGCAGCTGAAGCTGGAGTTAGAAGTAGAACCTATATTTGCATCGATGGCCATATATGATGCAAAAGAGCGTCAAAAAATCTCTGAGAATTTTTACTTCGATATGAATTCGGATGGTCTGAAGCAAATGCTTTCAAACCATGTTCGCTGTGCCGATATTAGCACGCAAAGTCGTTCGGCTATATTTGAAATTTCCTATCCAAGTAATGATTTGTTCCTAGTTATACGACTGGAAAAAGTACTTCAAGGCGACATCAATAACTCTGTCGAACCATACCTGAAAGACGACAAAGACAAGTATAGAGAGAAAGTTAAGTCAAATGCAATGGATTATTGTGAACGTTTGGGAAAATATCGCATGCCTTTCGCTTGGACAGCTATACATTTAACAAATGTTTTCAATGGCGATAATTTTGATAATAAAGACGGCAGCGCTGGCGAGAGAGATTCATCGGGCAGTATTGGTAGTGCCACCTTGGGGTCTGCCGCAAGTTCAAATAGCTTAGATCGCAAGTCTTCGACCAGCAGCTTTGATCAACTACGCAAAAAAGCAAATGATATGAGCGGAACACTGACAAGACGGGGCTCTCTGGAGCGCAGGGAAAAACGACGCTCTTGGTCACCGGATGACTTTGCCAACGTTGTTGAAAGTTTTCGTCCTATAACTTTAACTGTGCCAAGTTTCTTTAAACAAGAGGCGGACAAAATGAAAGACGAAGATTTATATAAATTTTTGCCTGAACTTAAGCGTCCAAGTACAGTTATGAAAAAATATAAATGCATTCCGGGATCTATAAAATTGGAGATATCGCCGTGTGCTGAAGATGTTATGAACTCGTTAACACCAGAGTTGACCAGAATCGCGCCGTATAATGGAGAGAAAACACGTCCTGTCAAAGAAATATTGGAGTTTCCATCGCAGCCCATTTATAGCTCCCACTACAGCTATCGCAATTTACTTTATGTGTCTCCCAAAGAGTTGAATTTTTCGTCACGCGCTGGTTCGGCACGTAACATTGCCATTCGTGTGCAGTTGATGGCAGGTAAGCCAATCATTGAAAGCGATATAGAATTTAATATAAATTTTTGAATAAATATTGCAGGAGAGACCCCTAAGGATGCAGTTAATGCCATTTTTGGTAAATCTTCGTGTCCAGAATATGCATCGGAAGCATTTACATCCGTCAATTACCATAACAAGTGTCCATCATTCTATGATGAGATTAAGATTGCTCTGCCTGCTTCCATCAAACAGCACCATCATTTATTATTTACCATCTATCACGTATCGTGCCAAAAAAAGCCGCACGAAATGCAGGTTTCGGTTGAAACTCCCATCGGCTACACCTGGTTACCACTTCTAGAGGATGGCAAACTTAAAGTTGGTGAATTCAATCTGCCTGTTATGTTGGAATCGCCACCGGAGAACTACTCGTTCATACCACCGAACGTTCATCTTCCTGGGATTAAGTGGTTGGACAATCACCGTGCCGTATTTTCTATCAATGTAGATGCTGTGACTTCAGTTCACACTTTGGATGCACACCTTGATCGTTTTTTTCTAACTTGTGAGTACTTAGATACCCACAACATACCCTCCCACATAGGCGAGTGTAATATGGAAGCAGAGTTAAAAAGATGTCTGCTGGATATAGAGAATGCCAATCGTGAATCATTGGTTAGGCATCTACCTCTTGTGTTGGACAAGCTAATCGAGTTATTGGTAACTACAAATATAGTAGGAAGCCAGACAATGTCGTTGGGTTCGACTGTGTTTGAGGTGCTTTGCTTGGTGTCAGCACATTTATCCATTTTAAGCGATATATATCATTATGGACGACAAAGTTTATTTTCCACTTACGTGCAATTTCAATGCAAAATACCACATCCATTGGCAGTTAAGTGCTGTCTAAGTCGTAGCAGTACCAATGAAATTCAGTCAGGTTATATTACAAGCGCTGGAACCACTGGTAAGATGAAAAAAACAAAAAGTATATTCACCTACTAAGTAAATCTACCTTTAGAACTTGATAATGGACAACATCTAACTGGCGGTCTGAATGTTAACTTCAGTCACTTACGCTACTTACACGAAGAACTCGCCTTGCAATATACACTGGCTAGTGGCAAAGTAGCAGATTTTGCCATGAGCAACTCCTGGTTTTTATTTGAGCTAATTATTAAATCGATGATAGAGCACTTGGACTATTCGGGTACCCTAAATGCACCACGGAAGATTCGGTTTCCACAAAAATTCATTGAAGACATAGTCACGCTTGTCACTGTTGTAACCAACAAAATTATAGAGTACCATACAACAGACTGCAGGTTAGCTCAGTCACTCAACGCAAGCTTAAGTTTTTTTATTTTTGATCTACTGAGCATTATGGATCGCGGATTTGTCTTTGGCCTAATTAAAATGTATTCAAAGGTTATAACATCAAAAAGTGCTTCCTCACCTGATTTAATGAACTATAAAATAGATTTCAATCGAATCGTATGTAGTCATGAACATTTTGTTGCGTTAAATTTGCCCTTTGGTACTTCTTACACAACTATCTCAGCACCTTGCAGCCCAACTCCTAGCACCACATCAAACACAAGTCAAGCTTCATATGTACGTATTACAGCTGTTTTACTTTAATTATTGAAGTAACGAATATTAATTTATTTACTCAGGGCTCCATTGAACGCGCCTTGCACGCTGACCTTAGCACAGAATTTCGTCAACAACACTTCCTGGTTGGTCTTGTGCTAGGCGATTTAGCCACTGGCATGGAAGTGCCCAATCCGCAACTGCATGGAAAAGCAATAAACTGCATACGCAACCTTTTAGCTTCCCATGACTCACGCTACGATACGGAAGCACGTTCGCGAGTAGCTTCACTATATATACCGCTGCTCTCAATAGTCATGGATACCTTTTCACAGTTACATCAATTTTTATCAGACGCTCAGGATCATGACCGTTTGCATCAGATGGGTCAACTTGAAGATTATCAGGGCCCTAACCAGACCATAACCACGGCGACTATAAGTCCAGAGGTAGCATTTGCCATCTCGGGTAGTCGTGTATATTCCTATATGACGGAACAATCGAAAAACAAGATACCATTAAGCGCAGAGAATACGCGTCATTTGCTGGCTTGCTTCCTATGGGTGCTGAAAAATTTGGAGCGCACTATCCTTTACCGTTGGCTACTCGGCTTGAGTCCTCATCGCGTGCACCAAATGCTGCAGGTATTGAATACATGCCTAAAGGCGTTTGAGTATTCGGGTCAAAAGCGGTTGCCCACAATAAAGCGGGCTAAGACTCATAGTTTCCGTAAGACAGGACCAACTGATGTCAAAGAAAAATTAGAAGAATGCATTAGAGGAACAAATTCGGCACGTTATGATCTCATAAACCGTCGCAAAGATCGAAACTCAACGGAGAAACTTCGCTGGCGTAAGGATCAGATGCCATACCGATCACAGTACAGTGATACAGTTACGAGAAATGAGCCAGAACTTGAATTATGCCATTTCATTGAGGGCTCACTTTCAACAGAAATTGCGCTTATCACACTTGATTCATTGGAAATAATAGTGCATGTGGCCACCAATCTACACCATAATCTACTAGGGACTGTACTAAAAGTTTTATTGCACAGTTTATCCCATAATCAGTCGACACTGGCACTACAAAATTTGTTTGCTTCTCAACGTGCGCTGATCTTTAAATTTCCCAATCTTTTGTTTGATGAAGAAACAGACATCTGTGCAGATTTGTGCCTCTTGCTATTAAAGCATTGCGCATCACAATTACCAGGCATTCGTTCACAAGCGGCTGCATCGCTGTACTTACTAATGAGACAAAATTTTGAAATTGGAAATGTAAGTATAACCTTACTTATTCACACATATATAGATAATTTTATTTGCGGTCTCTCTCATTTTAGAATTTTGCACGCGTTAAAATGCAGGTGACCATGTCATTAAGCTCTCTGGTTGGCACTAGTGCGTCTTTTAGCGAACAGTCACTTCGTCGTGCGTTAAAAACCATTTTAGTGTACGCCGAGTCTGATGCAGATTTACAGGAAACTTCCTTCCCAGAACAAGTCCAAGATTTACTTTTCAATCTACACATGATCCTCTCAGACACAGTGAAAATGAAAGAATATCAGGAGGACCCAGAAATGTTGCTTGACCTAATGAATCGTATAGCCAAGGGATACCAAAACAACCCAGATTTAAGGTTAACATGGTTGGAAAACATGGCTAAAAAGCACCGTGAACGATCCAATCACACCGAAGCGGCCATGTGCTATGTACATGCTGCTGCATTAGTTTCAGAATATTTAAGTATGCTCGAATCACAAACACATTTGCCTGTCGGTGCGGTTAGTTTTCAGCGCATTTCACCAAACACATTCATGGAGTCTGCAGTATCGGATGATGTTCTTAGTCCAGGGGAAGATGGCATTTGCTTAGGAAATCACTTCACTGAGACGGGATTAAAGGCATTGCTCGAAGAAGCTTCTAACTCCTTCCAAGTTGCTGGCATGTATGAAGCTATGAATGAAGTCTACAAAATACTAACTCCTATTTGCGAGGCAAACCGCGAGTTTCATAAGCTCGGCAAAGTTCATGGTAAACTGCAGGAAGCATTCAATCGAATTGCGCAACTACAGGTAATATAAAATTATAAAAATGTCGCCGGTATGTCAAGACTGTGAAGATACAGTAAAGATATTTCAAACAATTTGCCTCATAACATTTGTTATTATATTTTTTATAGGGTAAGCGGGTATTTGGAACGTATTTTCGAGTTGGTTTCTATGGCGCTAAGTTTGGAGACCTGGATCAACAAGAATTCATTTACAAAGAGCCCACATTAACAAAGTTGCCAGAGATATTTAGTCGACTTCAGGTAGTTACATAGTGTCACAACAAAAATTGTATATTCATTTTATAGTATATTTGCATTTAGAACTTTTATGCGGATAGGTTTGGTCCTGATTCTGTGCACATAATTAAGGATTCTAATAATTTCGACATAAACACATTAGAGCCAGAAAAAGCTTATATACAAATCACCTATGTCGAACCTTTCTTTGAAACCTATGAAATGCGTCATAGAGAGACTTACTTTGAACGAAATTTTAATATTAGTAAGTAATTCCAAATATTTTTCTCGACAAGCCCAACTATAAAACAACCAAAAAAAATGTCAATAATTTCCCGTTAATCTTTTTCCATTAGAGCGGTTTATTTTTGCAACACCTTTTACAAAAAGCGGAAAAGCTCATGGAGAATTACATGAGCAATGTAAACGAAAAACAATATTAACAACGGCCAACTACTTTCCTTACGTTAAAACTCGTATCCAAGTAATCAGCAGAGCGCAATTTCAATTGGAGCCGATTGAAGTAGCAATTGGTTCGTAATTTATTTGTCTATATTTACATGTTTCAGCAAGAAATGCGCCTTTTCGAAATTGTATTTTCCTAGAGGAGTATACCTCAAATAATAATCATATCAAATGTGTTAATAATTGCTACTACTATAAACTCAAAACAATTAATACAATATATTTATCTAGAAAGGATAAGAAAACCAAGAATTATGAGAGGGAGATAAATATCGAAAAGGCCATAGAAACACTAACCATTAAATAGTATAATATAAAATAATATCTTTACATATTTTGTTAATAACAGAAGACATTCAGAAGAAAACATTGGAATTGGCAGCGGCTACAAATCAAGAGCCAGCTGACCCAAAAATATTACAAATGGTATTACAGGGTTGCATTGGTACCACCGTTAACCAAGGTCCAATGGAAATGGCTAGCGTATTTCTTTCAAACTTATCGGACGGCACGACCATACCTACGAAACATCAAAATAAATTGCGGTTGTGTTTCCGCGAATTTTCAAAACGTTGTGCGGATGCTTTAAAGAAGAATAGGAATCTAATAATGTCGGATCAAAAAGATTATCAACGTGAACTGGAACGTAACTACGAGCGTTTTGTGGAACGTCTTACACCGCTTATCACACTTACATCAGTACAAACACAAGGTGTTGTACGGTAAGTTTCTGCCAAATTAGAAACTAAAATGTATTTAATTAAAAATTCCTCTTTACAGAGCCAATGCCTATCAAAATAAAACAACGCCGCTTAAATGGTAACTTTTACAGCACGGATTTACAAAAAAAAAAAACATTTTTATACATACATATGTTTACACATTTTTACATGTCTAGCGTGTCGGATTATTTTAAGTAAGTTTAAATATGAAGAATAAACAAACCGGTTTTGAACACTTGTATTTATTTCCATAAATCCTTTGCTTACAATATGAAGAATATATTTCTCGAATCGTAATAGTGTATACTGCTGAAATTCACATAATTTTGCTTTTAAATATGTATTAATTTAAAAGTTAAATTATTAAGTTCAATGTTCCAAAAGGCAATTTAATCACAATACAATAGAAAGTCATAAAATATATAAACACTAATTTTCACTACCATCTTATCACAGTTTGTGGCTTCATCTCTGATTATTTACACCATATATACACAAATTTATCTTTTATATACATATTTATTGATTTTTTATAAATTATCTACAAACAAATACATCTTTAAATATTTCCCAATTGTATTTCCCCCCAAAAACTATAAGTAAATTATACATATTAACAAACAACAATAAGAAAATTACTAGATAAGTATTTACATTTTTATGGACAAAATTATTATTATGTTTATTCCAAATTATAAGCAATCCTTTTCAAGTCATTAAAAAAGTCATTTGAATCACAAGCTAATAGAGATTCAGGACTAATTAAGACAGCTGATCAAACACATTATGGTATATTCCCATCACACAATACTTGTCCATTCAGCCAAGTCATTGTTTGGATTGCTGGGATTTCCTTCTTTGTGCAAAGGCCTTAACATAAACTGCATGTCTTGCAGTTGTCTTAAAAATCGTACTAAAAATATACAAATTTAAATGCTTTGTTTTATCTGAATTTTTATGTGAGCATCGGCGGTACTTACAATGTGAATCTTCGAAACTCAAGATCCGCGCGTGATCCTTCCACCAATTGCATAGTAGAAATAGATAATGTTTTGTTGTTTCTTCCGAATCCCGAAAAAGGCACGAGACGTAATATTCACGAAAAATAAGTGTAAGTAAATGTACGGCAATATGTGAGATTTCCCCAACTTGTGAAATGTCAAAGAAAATTTTTTTATTGTTTAGTGCCTTTATTGGCTTGTCAATTCACATACCTGATTTTTTATCTTGGATCACCCATTGGAACATCATTTGAAAAACGATCGTCACAACGCTTAGACAAAGCTTAACATAGCATTCGCAACCAACTTCGTGCGGTACCGGGTCCTGCACTGGTATTAAGGAGAACTTTGATATGTTCGCTGAGTTAATGGCGGAAGCATTAACACTACTTGCGGAATTGTAATTGGTAAGCGTTACACCAGAGTGTAAACTGCCAACGTTTGAGGGCATATTCTTATTTTCCTCTTTATCCTCATCAGTAAGGGATGGAAATGAAAGCATTCTCAGTACGAATTGAGGAGTGGCTGCGAAACAGCTGTATACGAATCGCACATGATTTGAGCATATCGCTAGCAAGAGTTTAAAATGATTCGGTTGTAGAGGCAGTTCGCTACATAAACATAGCTCGATGAGTCCCGCGTAGACCTGTATTAAACACGATTTCGACCCAAACCGGTAAACCGAACGAACGCGATCAGATATAAAGTAATTACTTGGACTATTAACACACATTCCTGTCATAAGCCAACCGTAACGTGAGCATAATAACATGCATGCACTGAGTTCGCGAAAAACCCAGGGACTTGGACGAGTAAAGACCAAATGTTTTAATAAATCAAACAGCAATTCAAGTTGAGGTCCGGATGTAGACATCACCACAGGATTCATGTGACCCAGAAAGCTGTGCAGGAGCGCTGCAGTTGCCTCTAGGACACCAAAATGCTCGAATACCTCGGAAGAGTAACTTATTTTAGTTATCGCCTCGATTACTATTTGCAATACCCAGTATTTACCATACTTTTTTGAAGCAATGTATGTGATATGCTGCTCTGTTCTCGACAAATCTGTGCCAATGTGCCAACATAGCGACGTAATGGGATGGCTTGCTCTGGGTTGTATAAAGCGCCTGGTTGAATTAATGAATATCGCATATAAGTACGGTGATCTGATTGTAGGTCGAAACGATGATAGGGATACATCATACAGTTTTGTGGTAACCCCAAGCTTTGGGTATAGGTCCAAAACTCGGTAAAGACTCTGCAGACTGATTCTATTATGCGACCTGTGGTCGTTTCAACCGTGCTGCGCTCGGAAAACCCTTTTGCGTAATATAGAAGTTGCTCAAGCTCCATTTCAAAAAAAGTGCGCTGTTTCTTTGCATGTGCATCTTTGGCGTACTCGTAGTGTGGTTTGGTGAAAAACTGATTCGTGGAAGGGCTTACAATACATAAATCTTCTATGCGAAGCAAATTACGACATTCGTCAGCATCGGTGACGATTACATCGTTATTTTTAAATATACTCCTTTCATTGCTGTTTGCGTTTCGAATTTTAAGATCTGAAAACGCAACATTTGTGAAATTCAATTCTGCGTCTTTGGCTGTTACTAGTTTAAATACTTCAGCTACTTTCTTATTGCAGTCCTTTTCCCCTTCTTCAGCTATTGCAAACTTTTCGATCTTGCTAGCTTGAAGCAGTTTACGTGCTTGTCGGAGTTCATTGCGGAGTAGGCTGACCTGTAGACATATTTATAAGTAATAATTGAATCGTGTACAATGCCACTCACCTCGCCTTCATTGCCGCCCGCTCGATTATTGCTTTCTATAAGGCGTCTGTGCAATTTTTCATTCTCCTTCTTAAGCACATCGATACGTTCCATTAGAGCCAGAAAAAGCTTATATACAAATCACCTATGTCGAACCTTTCTTTGAAACCTATGAAATGCGTCATAGAGAGACTTACTTTGAACGAAATTTTAATATTAGTAAGTAATTCCAAATATTTTTCTCGACAAGCCCAACTATAAAACAACCAAAAAAAATGTCAATAATTTCCCGTTAATCTTTTTCCATTAGAGCGGTTTATTTTTGCAACACCTTTTACAAAAAGCGGAAGAGCTCATGGAGAATTACATGAGCAATGTAAACGAAAAACAATATTAACAACGGCCAACTACTTTCCTTACGTTAAAACTCGTATCCAAGTAATCAGCAGAGCGCAATTTCAATTGGAGCCGATTGAAGTAGCAATTGGTTCGTAATTTATTTGTCTATATTTACATGTTTCAGCAAGAAATGCGCCTTTTCGAAATTGTATTTTCCTAGAGGAGTATACCTCAAATAATAATCATATCAAATGTGTTAATAATTGCTACTACTATAAACTCAAAACAATTAATACAATATATTTATCTAGAAAGGATAAGAAAACCAAGAATTATGAGAGGGAGATAAATATCGAAAAGGCCATAGAAACACTAACCATTAAATAGTATAATATAAAATAATATCTTTACATATTTTGTTAATAACAGAAGACATTCAGAAGAAAACATTGGAATTGGCAGCGGCTACAAATCAAGAGCCAGCTGACCCAAAAATATTACAAATGGTATTACAGGGTTGCATTGGTACCACCGTTAACCAAGGTCCAATGGAAATGGCTAGCGTATTTCTTTCAAACTTATCGGACGGCACGACCATACCTACGAAACATCAAAATAAATTGCGGTTGTGTTTCCGCGAATTTTCAAAACGTTGTGCGGCTGCTTTAAAGAAGAATAGGAATCTAATAATGTCGGATCAAAAAGATTATCAACGTGAACTGGAACGTAACTACGAGCGTTTTGTGGAACGTCTTACACCGCTTATCACACTTACATCAGTACAAACACAAGGTGTTGTACGGTAAGTTTCTGCCAAATTAGAAACTAAAATGTATTTAATTAAAAATTCCTCTTTACAGAGCCAATGCCTATCAAAATAAAACAACGCCGCTTAAATGGTAACTTTTACAGCACGGATTTACAAAAAAAAAACATTTTTATACATACATATGTTTACACATTTTTACATGTCTAGCGTGTCGGATTATTTTAAGTAAGTTTAAATATGAAGAATAAACAAACCGGTTTTGAACACTTGTATTTATTTCCATAAATCCTTTGCTTACAATATGAAGAATATATTTCTCGAATCGTAATAGTGTATACTGCTGAAATTCACATAATTTTGCTTTTAAATATGTATTAATTTAAAAGTTCAATTATTAAGTTCAATGTTCCAAAAGGCAATTTAATCACAATACAATAGAAAGTCATAAAATATATAAACACTAATTTTCACTACCATCTTATCACAGTTTGTGGCTTCATCTCTGATTATTTACACCATATATACACAAATTTATCTTTTATATACATATTTATTGATTTTTTATAAATTATCTACAAACAAATACATCTTTAAATATTTCCCAATTGTATTTCCCCCAAAAACTATAAGTAAATTATACATATTAACAAACAACAATAAGAAAATTACTAGATAAGTATTTACATTTTTATGGACAAAATTATTATTATGTTTATTCCAAATTATAAGCAATCCTTTTCAAGTCATTAAAAAAGTCATTTGAATCACAAGCTAATAGAGATTCAGGACTAATTAAGACAGCTGATCAAACACATTATGGTATATTCCCATCACACAATACTTGTCCATTCAGCCAAGTCATTGTTTGGATTGCTGGGATTTCCTTCTTTGTGCAAAGGCCTTAACATAAACTGCATGTCTTGCAGTTGTCTTAAAAATCGTACTAAAAATATACAAATTTAAATGCTTTGTTTTATCTGAATTTTTATGTGAGCATCGGCGGTACTTACAATGTGAATCTTCGAAACTCAAGATCCGCGTGTGATCCTTCCATCAATTGCATAGTAGAAATAGATAATGTTTTGTTGTTTGTTCCGAATCCCGAAAAAGGCACGAGACGTAATATTCACGAAAAATAAGTGTAAGTAAATGTACGGCAATATGTGAGATTTCCCCAACTTGTGAAATGTCTAAGAAAATTTTTTTATTGTTTAGTGCCTTTATTGGCTTGTCAATTCACATACCTGATTTTTTATCTTGGATCACCCATTGGAACATCATTTGAAAAACGATCGTCACAACGCTTAGACAAAGCTTAACATAGCATTCGCAACCAACTTCGTGCGGTACCGGGTCCTGCACTGGTATTAAGGAGAACTTTGATATGTTCGCTGAGTTAATGGCGGAAGCATTAACACTACTTGCGGAATTGTAATTGGTAAGCGTTACACCAGAGTGTAAACTGCCAACGTTTGAGGGCATATTCTTATTTTCCTCTTTATCCTCATCAGTAAGGGATGGAAATGAAAGCATTCTCAGTACGAATTGAGGAGTGGCTGCGAAACAGCTGTATACGAATCGCACATGATTTGAGCATATCGCTAGCAAGAGTTTAAAATGATTCGGTTGTAGAGGCAGTTCGCTACATAAACATAGCTCGATGAGTCCCGCGTAGACCTGTATTAAACACGATTTCGACCCAAACCGGTAAACCGAACGAACGCGATCAGATATAAAGTAATTACTTGGACTATTAACACACATTCCTGTCATAAGCCAACCGTAACGTGAGCATAATAACATGCATGCACTGAGTTCGCGAAAAACCCAGGGACTTGGACGAGTAAAGACCAAATGTTTTAATAAATCAAACAGCAATTCAAGTTGAGGTCCGGATGTAGACATCACCACAGGATTCATGTGACCCAGAAAGCTGTGCAGGAGCGCTGCAGTTGCCTCTAGGACACCAAAATGCTCGAATACCTCGGAAGAGTAACTTATTTTAGTTATCGCCTCGATTACTATTTGCAATACCCAGTATTTACCATACTTTTTTTGAAGCAATGTATGTGATATGCTGCTCTGTTCTCGATAAATCTGTGCCAATGTGCCAAAATAGCGACGTAATGGGATGGCTTGCTCTGGGTTGTATAAAGCGCCTGGTTGAATTAATGAATATCGCATATAAGTACGGTGATCTGATTGTAGGTCGAAACGATGATAGGGATACATCATACAGTTTTGTGGTAACTCCAAGCTTTGGGTATAGGTCCAAAACTCGGTAAAGACTCTGCAGACTGATTCTATTATGCGACCTGTGGTCGTTTCAACCGTGCTGCGCTCGGAAAACCCTTTTGCGTAATATAGAAGTTGCTCAAGCTCCATTTCAAAAAAAGTGCGCTGTTTCTTTGCATGTGCATCTTTGGCGTACTCGTAGTGTGGTTTGGTGAAAAACTGATTCGTGGAAGGGCTTACAATACATAAATCTTCTATGCGAAGCAAATTACGACATTCGTCAGCATCGGTGACGATTACATCGTTATTTTTAAATATACTCCTTTCATTGCTGTTTGCGTTTCGAATTTTAAGATCTGAAAACGCAACATTTGTGAAATTCAATTCTGCGTCTTTGGCTGTTACTAGTTTAAATACTTCAGCTACTTTCTTATTGCAGTCCTTTTCCCCTTCTTCAGCTATTGCAAACTTTTCGATCTTGCTAGCTTGAAGCAGTTTACGTGCTTGTCGGAGTTCATTGCGGAGTAGGCTGACCTGTAGACATATTTATAAGTAATAATTGAATCGTGTACAATGCCACTCACCTCGCCTTCATTGCCGCCCGCTCGATTATTGCTTTCTATAAGGCGTCTGTGCAATTTTTCATTCTCCTTCTTAAGCACATCGATACGTTCCATTAGAGCCAGAAAAAGCTTATATACAAATCACCTATGTCGAACCTTTCTTTGAAACCTATGAAATGCGTCATAGAGAGACTTACTTTGAACGAAATTTTAATATTAGTAAGTAATTCCAAATATTTTTCTCGACAAGCCCAACTATAAAACAACCAAAAAAAATGTCAATAATTTCCCGTTAATCTTTTTCCATTAGAGCGGTTTATTTTTGCAACACCTTTTACAAAAAGCGGAAGAGCTCATGGAGAATTACATGAGCAATGTAAACGAAAAACAATATTAACAACGGCCAACTACTTTCCTTACGTTAAAACTCGTATCCAAGTAATCAGCAGAGCGCAATTTCAATTGGAGCCGATTGAAGTAGCAATTGGTTCGTAATTTATTTGTCTATATTTACATGTTTCAGCAAGAAATGCGCCTTTTCGAAATTGTATTTTCCTAGAGGAGTATACCTCAAATAATAATCATATCAAATGTGTTAATAATTGCTACTACTATAAACTCAAAACAATTAATACAATATATTTATCTAGAAAGGATAAGAAAACCAAGAATTATGAGAGGGAGATAAATATCGAAAAGGCCATAGAAACACTAACCATTAAATAGTATAATATAAAATAATATCTTTACATATTTTGTTAATAACAGAAGACATTCAGAAGAAAACATTGGAATTGGCAGCGGCTACAAATCAAGAGCCAGCTGACCCAAAAATATTACAAATGGTATTACAGGGTTGCATTGGTACCACCGTTAACCAAGCTCCAATGGAAATGGCTAGCGTATTTCTTTCAAACTTATCGGACGGCACGACCATACCTACGAAACATCAAAATAAATTGCGGTTGTGTTTCCGCGAATTTTCAAAACGTTGTGCGGATGCTTTAAAGAAGAATAGGAATCTAATAATGTCGGATCAAAAAGATTATCAACGTGAACTGGAACGTAACTACGAGCGTTTTGTGGAACGTCTTACACCGCTTATCACACTTACATCAGTACAAACACAAGGTGTTGTACGGTAAGTTTCTGCCAAATTAGAAACTAAAATGTATTTAATTAAAAATTCCTCTTTACAGAGCCAATGCCTATCAAAATAAAACAACGCCGCTTAAATGGTAACTTTTACAGCACGGATTTACAAAAAAAAAAAACATTTTTATACATACATATGTTTACACATTTTTACATGTCTAGCGTGTCGGATTATTTTAAGTAAGTTTAAATATGAAGAATAAACAAACCGGTTTTGAACACTTGTATTTATTTCCATAAATCCTTTGCTTACAATATGAAGAATATATTTCTCGAATCGTAATAGTGTATACTGCTGAAATTCACATAATTTTGCTTTTAAATATGTATTAATTTAAAAGTTAAATTATTAAGTTCAATGTTCCAAAAGGCAATTTAATCACAATACAATAGAAAGTCATAAAATATATAAACACTAATTTTCACTACCATCTTATCACAGTTTGTGGCTTCATCTCTGATTATTTACACCATATATACACAAATTTATCTTTTATATACATATTTATTGATTTTTTATAAATTATCTACAAACAAATACATCTTTAAATATTTCCCAATTGTATTTCCCCCAAAAACTATAAGTAAATTATACATATTAACAAACAACAATAAGAAAATTACTAGATAAGTATTTACATTTTTATGGACAAAATTATTATTATGTTTATTCCAAATTATAAGCAATCCTTTTCAAGTCATTAAAAAAGTCATTTGAATCACAAGCTAATAGAGATTCAGGACTAATTAAGACAGCTGATCAAACACATTATGGTATATTCCCATCACACAATACTTGTCCATTCAGCCAAGTCATTGTTTGGATTGCTGGGATTTCCTTCTTTGTGCAAAGGCCTTAACATAAACTGCATGTCTTGCAGTTGTCTTAAAAATCGTACTAAAAATATACAAATTTAAATGCTTTGTTTTATCTGAATTTTTATGTGAGCATCGGCAGTACTTACAATGTGAATCTTCGAAACTCAAGATCCGCGTGTGATCCTTCCATCAATTGCATAGTAGAAATAGATAATGTTTTGTTGTTTGTTCCGAATCCCGAAAAAGGCACGAGACGTAATATTCACGAAAAATAAGTGTAAGTAAATGTACGGCAATATGTGAGATTTCCCCAACTTGTGAAATGTCTAAGAAATTTTTTTTATTGTTTAGTGCCTTTATTGGCTTGTCAATTCACATACCTGATTTTTTATCTTGGATCACCCATTGGAACATCATTTGAAAAACGATCGTCACAACGCTTAGACAAAGCTTAACATAGCATTCGCAACCAACTTCGTGCGGTACCGGGTCCTGCACTGGTATTAAGGAGAACTTTGATATGTTCGCTGAGTTAATGGCGGAAGCATTAACACTACTTGCGGAATTGTAATTGGTAAGCGTTACACCAGAGTGTAAACTGCCAACTTTTGAGGGCATATTCTTATTTTCCTCTTTCTCCTCATCAGTAAGGGATGGAAATGAAAGCATTCTCAGTATGAATTGAGGAGTGGCTGCGAAACAGCTGTATACGAATCGCACATGATTTGAGCATATCGCTAGCAAAAGTTTAAAATGATTTGGTTGTAGAGGCAGTTCGCTACATAAACATAGCTCGATGAGTCCCGCGTAGACCTGTATTAAACACGATTTCGACCCAAACCGGTAAACCGAACGAACGCGATCAGATATAAAGTAATTACTTGGACTATTAACACACATTCCTGTCATAAGCCAACCGTAACGTGAGCATAATAACATGCATGCACTGAGTTCGCGAAAAACCCAGGGACTTGGACGAGTAAAGACCAAATGTTTTAATAAATCAAACAGCAATTCAAGTTGAGGTCCGGATGTAGACATCACCACAGGATTCATGTGACCCAGAAAGCTGTGCAGGAGCGCTGCAGTTGCCTCTAGGACACCAAAATGCTCGAATACCTCGGAAGAGTAACTTATTTTAGTTATCGCCTCGATTACTATTTGCAATACCCAGTATTTACCATACTTTTTTTGAAGCAATGTATGTGATATGCTGCTCTGTTCTCGACAAATCTGTGCCAATGTGCCAACATAGCGACGTAATGGGATGGCTTGCTCTGGGTTGTATAAAGCGCCTGGTTGAATTAATGAATATCGCATATAAGTACGGTGATCTGATTGTAGGTCGAAACGATGATAGGGATACATCATACAGTTTTGTGGTAACTCCAAGCTTTGGGTATAGGTCCAAAACTCGGTAAAGACTCTGCAGACTGATTCTATTATGCGACCTGTGGTCGTTTCAACCGTGCTGCGCTCGGAAAACCCTTTTGCGTAATATAGAAGTTGCTCAAGCTCCATTTCAAAAAAAGTGCGCTGTTTCTTTGCATGTGCATCTTTGGCGTACTCGTAGTGTGGTTTGGTGAAAAACTGATTCGTGGAAGGGCTTACAATACATAAATCTTCTATGCGAAGCAAATTACGACATTCGTCAGCATCGGTGACGATTACATCGTTATTTTTAAATATACTCCTTTCATTGCTGTTTGCGTTTCGAATTTTAAGATCTGAAAACGCAACATTTGTGAAATTCAATTCTGCGTCTTTGGCTGTTACTAGTTTAAATACTTCAGCTACTTTCTTATTGCAGTCCTTTTCCCCTTCTTCAGCTATTGCAAACTTTTCGATCTTGCTAGCTTGAAGCAGTTTACGTGCTTGTCGGAGTTCATTGCGGAGTAGGCTGACCTGTAGACATATTTATAAGTAATAATTGAATCGTGTACAATGCCACTCACCTCGCCTTCATTGCCGCCCGCTCGATTATTGCTTTCTATAAGGCGTCTGTGCAATTTTTCATTCTCCTTCTTAAGCACATCGATACGTTCCATTAGAACCAGAAAAAGCTTATATACAAATCACCTATGTCGAACCTTTCTTTGAAACCTATGAAATGCGTCATAGAGAGACTTACTTTGAACGAAATTTTAATATTAGTAAGTAATTCCAAATATTTTTCTCGACAAGCCCAACTATAAAACAACCAAAAAAAATGTCAATAATTTCCCGTTAATCTTTTTCCATTAGAGCGGTTTATTTTTGCAACACCTTTTACAAAAAGCGGAAAAGCTCATGGAGAATTACATGAGCAATGTAAACGAAAAACAATATTAACAACGGCCAACTACTTTCCTTACGTTAAAACTCGTATCCAAGTAATCAGCAGAGCGCAATTTCAATTGGAGCCGATTGAAGTAGCAATTGGTTCGTAATTTATTTGTCTATATTTACATGTTTCAGCAAGAAATGCGCCTTTTCGAAATTGTATTTTCCTAGAGGAGTATACCTCAAATAATAATCATATCAAATGTGTTAATAATTGCTACTACTATAAACTCAAAACAATTAATACAATATATTTATCTAGAAAGGATAAGAAAACCAAGAATTATGAGAGGGAGATAAATATCGAAAAGGCCATAGAAACACTAACCATTAAATAGTATAATATAAAATAATATCTTTACATATTTTGTTAATAACAGAAGACATTCAGAAGAAAACATTGGAATTGGCAGCGGCTACAAATCAAGAGCCAGCTGACCCAAAAATATTACAAATGGTATTACAGGGTTGCATTGGTACCACCGTTAACCAAGGTCCAATGGAAATGGCTAGCGTATTTCTTTCAAACTTATCGGACGGCACGACCATACCTACGAAACATCAAAATAAATTGCGGTTGTGTTTCCGCGAATTTTCAAAACGTTGTGCGGATGCTTTAAAGAAGAATAGGAATCTAATAATGTCGGATCAAAAAGATTATCAACGTGAACTGGAACGTAACTACGAGCGTTTTGTGGAACGTCTTACACCGCTTATCACACTTACATCAGTACAAACACAAGGTGTTGTACGGTAAGTTTCTGCCAAATTAGAAACTAAAATGTATTTAATTAAAAATTCCTCTTTACAGAGCCAATGCCTATCAAAATAAAACAACGCCGCTTAAATGGTAACTTTTACAGCACGGATTTACAAAAAAAAAAAAAACATTTTTATACATACATATGTTTACACATTTTTACATGTCTAGCGTGTCGGATTATTTTAAGTAAGTTTAAATATGAAGAATAAACAAACCGGTTTTGAACACTTGTATTTATTTCCATAAATCCTTTGCTTACAATATGAAGAATATATTTCTCGAATCGTAATAGTGTATACTGCTGAAATTCACATAATTTTGCTTTTAAATATGTATTAATTTAAAAGTTCAATTATTAAGTTCAATGTTCCAAAAGGCAATTTAATCACAATACAATAGAAAGTCATAAAATATATAAACACTAATTTTCACTACCATCTTATCACAGTTTGTGGCTTCATCTCTGATTATTTACACCATATATACACAAATTTATCTTTTATATACATATTTATTGATTTTTTATAAATTATCTACAAACAAATACATCTTTAAATATTTCCCAATTGTATTTCCCCCCAAAAACTATAAGTAAATTATACATATTAACAAACAACAATAAGAAAATTACTAGATAAGTATTTACATTTTTATGGACAAAATTATTATTATGTTTATTCCAAATTATAAGCAATCCTTTTCAAGTCATTAAAAAAGTCATTTGAATCACAAGCTAATAGAAATTCAGGACTAATTAAGACAGCTGATCAAACACATTATGGTATATTCCCATCACACAATACTTGTCCATTCAGCCAAGTCATTGTTTGGATTGCTGGGATTTCCTTCTTTGTGCAAAGGCCTTAACATAAACTGCATGTCTTGCAGTTGTCTTAAAAATCGTACTAAAAATATACAAATTTAAATGCTTTGTTTTATCTGAATTTTTATGTGAGCATCGGCAGTACTTACAATGTGAATCTTCGAAACTCAAGATCCGCGTGTGATCCTTCCATCAATTGCATAGTAGAAATAGATAATGTTTTGTTGTTTGTTCCGAATCCCGAAAAAGGCACGAGACGTAATATTCACGAAAAATAAGTGTAATGTAAATGTACGGCAATATGTGAGATTTCCCCAACTTGTGAAATGTCTAAGAAAATTTTTTTATTGTTTAGTGCCTTTATTGGCTTGTCAATTCACATACCTGATTTTTTATCTTGGATCACCCATTGGAACATCATTTGAAAAACGATCGTCACAACGCTTAGACAAAGCTTAACATAGCATTCGCAACCAACTTCGTGCGGTACCGGGTCCTGCACTGGTATTAAGGAGAACTTTGATATGTTCGCTGAGTTAATGGCGGAAGCATTAACACTACTTGCGGAATTGTAATTGGTAAGCGTTACACCAGAGTGTAAACTGCCAACTTTTGAGGGCATATTCTTATTTTCCTCTTTCTCCTCATCAGTAAGGGATGGAAATGAAAGCATTCTCAGTATGAATTGAGGAGTGGCTGCGAAACAGCTGTATACGAATCGCACATGATTTGAGCATATCGCTAGCAAAAGTTTAAAATGATTCGGTTGTAGAGGCAGTTCGCTACATAAACATAGCTCGATGAGTCCCGCGTAGACCTGTATTAAACACGATTTCGACCCAAACCGGTAAACCGAACGAACGCGATCAGATATAAAGTAATTACTTGGACTATTAACACACATTCCTGTCATAAGCCAACCGTAACGTGAGCATAATAACATGCATGCACTGAGTTCGCGAAAAACCCAGGGACTTGGACGAGTAAAGACCAAATGTTTTAATAAATCAAACAGCAATTCAAGTTGAGGTCCGGATGTAGACATCACCACAGGATTCATGTGACCCAGAAAGCTGTGCAGGAGCGCTGCAGTTGCCTCTAGGACACCAAAATGCTCGAATACCTCGGAAGAGTAACTTATTTTAGTTATCGCCTCGATTACTATTTGCAATACCCAGTATTTACCATACTTTTTTTGAAGCAATGTATGTGATATGCTGCTCTGTTCTCGACAAATCTGTGCCAATGTGCCAACATAGCGACGTAATGGGATGGCTTGCTCTGGGTTGTATAAAGCGCCTGGTTGAATTAATGAATATCGCATATAAGTACGGTGATCTGATTGTAGGTCGAAACGATGATAGGGATACATCATACAGTTTTGTGGTAACTCCAAGCTTTGGGTATAGGTCCAAAACTCGGTAAAGACTCTGCAAACTGATTCTATTATGCGACCTGTGGTCGTTTCAACCGTGCTGCGCTCGGAAAACCCTTTTGCGTAATATAGAAGTTGCTCAAGCTCCATTTCAAAAAAAGTGCGCTGTTTCTTTGCATGTGCATCTTTGGCGTACTCGTAGTGTGGTTTGGTGAAAAACTGATTCGTGGAAGGGCTTACAATACATAAATCTTCTATGCGAAGCAAATTACGACATTCGTCAGCATCGGTGACGATTACATCGTTATTTTTAAATATACTCCTTTCATTGCTGTTTGCGTTTCGAATTTTAAGATCTGAAAACGCAACATTTGTGAAATTCAATTCTGCGTCTTTGGCTGTTACTAGTTTAAATACTTCAGCTACTTTCTTATTGCAGTCCTTTTCCCCTTCTTCAGCTATTGCAAACTTCGATCTTGCTAGCTTGAAGCAGTTTACGTGCTTGTCGGAGTTCATTGCGGAGTAGGCTGACCTGTAGACATATTTATAAGTAATAATTGAATCGTGTACAATGCCACTCACCTCGCCTTCATTGCCGCCCGCTCGATTATTGCTTTCTATAAGGCGTCTGTGCAATTTTTCATTCTCCTTCTTAAGCACATCGATACGTTCCATTAGAGCCAGAAAAAGCTTATATACAAATCACCTATGTCGAACCTTTCTTTGAAACCTATGAAATGCGTCATAGAGAGACTTACTTTGAACGAAATTTTAATATTAGTAAGTAATTCCAAATATTTTTCTCCACAAGCCCAACTATAAAACAACCAAAAAAAATGTCAATAATTTCCCGTTAATCTTTTTCCATTAGAGCGGTTTATTTTTGCAACACCTTTTACAAAAAGCGGAAAAGCTCATGGAGAATTACATGAGCAATGTAAACGAAAAACAATATTAACAACGGCCAACTACTTTCCTTACGTTAAAACTCGTATCCAAGTAATCAGCAGAGCGCAATTTCAATTGGAGCCGATTGAAGTAGCAATTGGTTCGTAATTTATTTGTCTATATTTACATGTTTCAGCAAGAAATGCGCCTTTTCGAAATTGTATTTTCCTAGAGGAGTATACCTCAAATAATAATCATATCAAATGTGTTAATAATTGCTACTACTATAAACTCAAAACAATTAATACAATATATTTATCAAGAAAGGATAAGAAAACCAAGAATTATGAGAGGGAGATAAATATCGAAAAGGCCATAAAACACTAACCATTAAATAGTATAATATAAAATAATATCTTTACATATTTTGTTAATAACAGAAGACATTCAGAAGAAAACATTGGAATTGGCAGCGGCTACAAATCAAGAGCCAGCTGACCCAAAAATATTACAAATGGTATTACAGGGTTGCATTGGTACCACCGTTAACCAAGGTCCAATGGAAATGGCTAGCGTATTTCTTTCAAACTTATCGGACGGCACGACCATACCTACGAAACATCAAAATAAATTGCGGTTGTGTTTCCGCGAATTTTCAAAACGTTGTGCGGATGCTTTAAAGAAGAATAGGAATCTAATAATGTCGGATCAAAAAGATTATCAACGTGAACTGGAACGTAACTACGAGCGTTTTGTGGAACGTCTTACACCGCTTATCACACTTACATCAGTACAAACACAAGGTGTTGTACGGTAAGTTTCTGCCAAATTAGAAACTAAAATGTATTTAATTAAAAATTCCTCTTTACAGAGCCAATGCCTATCAAAATAAAACAACGCCGCTTAAATGGTAACTTTTACAGCACGGATTTACAAAAAAAAAAAACATTTTTATACATACATATGTTTACACATTTTTACATGTCTAGCGTGTCGGATTATTTTAAGTAAGTTTAAATATGAAGAATAAACAAACCGGTTTTGAACACTTGTATTTATTTCCATAAATCCTTTGCTTACAATATGAAGAATATATTTCTCGAATCGTAATAGTGTATACTGCTGAAATTCACATAATTTTGCTTTTAAATATGTATTAATTTAAAAGTTCAATTATTAAGTTCAATGTTCCAAAAGGCAATTTAATCACAATACAATAGAAAGTCATAAAATATATAAACACTAATTTTCACTACCATCTTATCACAGTTTGTGGCTTCATCTCTGATTATTTACACCATATATACACAAATTTATCTTTTATATACATATTTATTGATTTTTTATAAATTATCTACAAACAAATACATCTTTAAATATTTCCCAATTGTATTTCCCCCCAAAAACTATAAGTAAATTATACATATTAACAAACAACAATAAGAAAATTACTAGATAAGTATTTACATTTTTATGGACAAAATTATTATTATGTTTATTCCAAATTATAAGCAATCCTTTTCAAGTCATTAAAAAAGTCATTTGAATCACAAGCTAATAGAGATTCAGGACTAATTAAGACAGCTGATCAAACACATTATGGTATATTCCCATCACACAATACTTGTCCATTCAGCCAAGTCATTGTTTGGATTGCTGGGATTTCCTTCTTTGTGCAAAGGCCTTAACATAAACTGCATGTCTTGCAGTTGTCTTAAAAATCGTACTAAAAATATACAAATTTAAATGCTTTGTTTTATCTGAATTTTTATGTGAGCATCGGCGGTACTTACAATGTGAATCTTCGAAACTCAAGATCCGCGCGTGATCCTTCCACCAATTGCATAGTAGAAATAGATAATGTTTTGTTGTTTCTTCCGAATCCCGAAAAAGGCACGAGACGTAATATTCACGAAAAATAAGTGTAAGTAAATGTACGGCAATATGTGAGATTTCCCCAACTTGTGAAATGTCTAAGAAATTTTTTTTATTGTTTAGTGCCTTTATTGGCTTGTCAATTCACATACCTGATTTTTTATCTTGGATCACCCATTGGAACATCATTTGAAAAACGATCGTCACAACGCTTAGACAAAGCTTAACATAGCATTCGCAACCAACTTCGTGCGGTACCGGGTCCTGCACTGGTATTAAGGAGAACTTTGATATGTTCGCTGAGTTAATGGCGGAAGCATTAACACTACTTGCGGAATTGTAATTGGTAAGCGTTACACCAGAGTGTAAACTGCCAACTTTTGAGGGCATATTCTTATTTTCCTCTTTCTCCTCATCAGTAAGGGATGGAAATGAAAGCATTCTCAGTATGAATTGAGGAGTGGCTGCGAAACAGCTGTATACGAATCGCACATGATTTGAGCATATCGCTAGCAAAAGTTTAAAATGATTCGGTTGTAGAGGCAGTTCGCTACATAAACATAGCTCGATGAGTCCCGCGTAGACCTGTATTAAACACGATTTTGACCCAAACCGGTAAACCGAACGAACGCGATCAGATATAAAGTAATTACTTGGACTATTAACACACATTCCTGTCATAAGCCAACCGTAACGTGAGCATAATAACATGCATGCACTGAGTTCGCGAAAAACCCAGGGACTTGGACGAGTAAAGACCAAATGTTTTAATAAATCAAACAGCAATTCAAGTTGAGGTCCGGATGTAGACATCACCACAGGATTCATGTGAACCAGAAAGCTGTGCAGGAGCGCTGCAGTTGCCTCTAGGACACCAAAATGCTCGAATACCTCGGAAGAGTAACTTATTTTAGTTATCGCCTCGATTACTATTTGCAATACCCAGTATTTACCATACTTTTTTGAAGCAATGTATGTGATATGCTGCTCTGTTCTCGACAAATCTGTGCCAATGTGCCAACATAGCGACGTAATGGGATGGCTTGCTCTGGGTTGTATAAAGCGCCTGGTTGAATTAATCAATATCGCATATAAGTACGGTGATCTGATTGTAGGTCGAAACGATGATAGGGATACATCATACAGTTTTGTGGTAACTCCAAGCTTTGGGTATAGGTCCAAAACTCGGTAAAGACTCTGCAGACTGATTCTATTATGCGACCTGTGGTCGTTTCAACCGTGCTGCGCTCGGAAAACCCTTTTGCGTAATATAGAAGTTGCTCAAGCTCCATTTCAAAAAAAGTGCGCTGTTTCTTTGCATGTGCATCTTTGGCGTACTCGTAGTGTGGTTTGGTGAAAAACTGATTCGTGGAAGGGCTTACAATACATAAATCTTCTATGCGAAGCAAATTACGACATTCGTCAGTATCGGTGACGATTACATCGTTATTTTTAAATATACTCCTTTCATTGCTGTTTGCGTTTCGAATTTTAAGATCTGAAAACGCAACATTTGTGAAATTCAATTCTGCGTCTTTGGCTGTTACTAGTTTAAATACTTCAGCTACTTTCTTATTGCAGTCCTTTTCCCCTTCTTCAGCTATTGCAAACTTTTCGATCTTGCTAGCTTGAAGCAGTTTACGTGCTTGTCGGAGTTCATTGCGGAGTAGGCTGACCTGTAGACATATTTATAAGTAATAATTGAATCGTGTACAATGCCACTCACCTCGCCTTCATTGCCGCCCGCTCGATTATTGCTTTCTATAAGGCGTCTGTGCAATTTTTCATTCTCCTTCTTAAGCACATCGATACGTTCCATTAGAAATTTGAGTTGTCGTTCCTGTTCCACTTGTCGCCTAGTTCTCGTTGCATCAAATTCATCATAAGTTGGTTTTTGTTGCTCTCGGCCAGCATCGGGTAAAAAAACAAAGGTTTCATCAGTACCAAATATTTCTTCCACTCTCATATTTAGCATATCATTTTGAAATATATGTTGTGTGCTCGTAATTCCACGAGTGTGAGGCGCAAATGAACTGAATGTAAATTCCATGCCATTAGTTTGCCGCTGCTTTTCCTCTGCTATTTGAGTAGCTAACAACACAGCATCGTCGTCGTCATTTGCCCAGAAATCCACAATATTAGAAGTGGTCGAGCTGAATTGCCCGCGGCTTACACTAACGTCTAATTTGGGCTTTTTCGCAGATCCCAACTTATCCATTGGCCCCAACCGCTTTGCCATTTTGATGTTTCTTTTCTTTTAAACAAGCGTATTGTATGTTATTCTTGAATGAGAGAAGTTCACTCTGTGAACAAAATAGAACCAATACTAAGCAAATTGAACTAATAAATGAACAAGTACACAAAAATGAACAAGTACACAAATATACATTTTATTTGACGATTTTAACACTGTTAATATGATTATGATCATTTCGTTTAACTTGACTATGATTATTTTACAGTAAGAGCGATATGTAAAGTATTGTTGTCACCTAATATTCCATTCAATTACGGCTTACCGGCATCGATATTTTGTATAAATTCATCGATATCTCCTTGCGCAAGTATCGACATATATTTTACTTTGCGGAAGCCATCGATATTATGTATTTCTTGTCGATGCCGATACAGTTGAAAAAAATATTCGGCATGAGCGCGTCGCGTAGTGTTTTTCTAAGCGCAGGAATAAAAGACAGACCCGTCCCTAGTTATTTAAATAATTGCTAAGCAGATCGTCCCGCTTCCAGATTACTTGGCGTAAAAGTGCAATCATAAACTTTTTCAGTCAGTTCGCAAGCGCACAGGCTCCAAGTGTGAAAAAAATACATGAAAGCGCATTGCTTTGGCCCTCACCGCGCAACTGCAAATGTATTAGTGCTAACGACCATAACACAGGCGCAATATTAAGAAAAGTACGAAATGTATTTATACATATTTTTATTTACGTTAATACATGTGATTTTGAAAAAGATTGTTGACATACATTTTGTACCTGCATATCTATGACTCAGCAGAGGCAGCGTACCATATACTACAGTTACTCATATAGATACTTTTATGTACATACACACAAATGTGAGTGTGTGTGTGCGTTCTCTCACGCACTGACATTCTGAAAATTTTCTTGAATATTGTATACGTCCTCTGTTTTTTAATAAAACGACTTTAACAGCAAATATTGTGTAATATAATTTTCTAAATGTTTGTGTGCTTAAATTTTCAAGTGTTTGAAGTTATGTATTCATGATCAATTAAAAATTCAGAGAGCGGTTAAATGAAAATAATATTCGGGCGTCGCCTAACAAATGGCATCATAACAACAAAGCTTCTAGGTAGTGTGTGTTCATATGCGTGATGCCTCCATTTCACGCAGACTAAATAATCTCTATGCATATTTAATATTAAGAAGTTTTCGTTCATTCATCCGCTGAGCTGCATAGCGAGTTCATTAACATTTTTTATTGAATGATTTTAAAAAGTAAAGCCTCATAAATATACTCATCAACCGCCTACATATTTTTGCATTCATAATGTATTTATAATTAAACAAATCTCATTTCGTTTCTTGTAGTCCTCAAATTCAATATCATTTTCTTATTTAGATTTTCGACGAAATTAAAATGACTTAGTTACAAAATTGTAGATTTGAATCTTAGTAATAAAACCAAATACATGTACATTCAATGGTATGCAGAGAAATAGTTAAAAGTAACTCTTGTACGCCTACAAAAAGCACCCGGCGTACGTTTTAAATCTGAACACAACTTGTTTAACAAGTTTGGTAAGTCGAGGTCATGTTACGATCGCTAGTACCATTTTCTTTTGCTATTTGGCGTGTAAGTTTATAATTATGTATGTACATAGATTGGCTAGCTACACAATTTAATGTAATATGCAAAGCTTTGGTTAATTTTAAATGCATTCTTGATTTTTAATTATTTATTTATTGTTTCAATAGTATTTATTTTCAGACTCCTATATTTTGAAGTTTATAGCGATTACAACAATGTTAAAGTTTATACGTGGAAAGGGTCAACAGCCAACAGCTGAACGACAGCGACTACAAAAGGAGCTCTTTGCGTATCGTAAGGTTTGTAATATATACTTTTTGGGAATTAAAATATCACGACAAAATTATAATACCCTTTTTAATGGTATATAAAAAATTCAATATTTCGCCCATGTGTTCTTTATATTTTGGTTAAACTATACGTTCTAATTTGTAAATTATTAGTTTCCGAACATTATTGATTTCTTTTGCAGGTAACTAGTATATATTATTACATCGGCCGTTGCATTTATTGGTGCATATTCTCAATTCCTTTTTAATCTCATGTAACAACGCCCACAAATTTTATGTGCACGTGTCACGCTTGAGTGCCTATGTTGTCTGTTTTTCATATTCGCTTCACAGCCTAATAATTCCGTGCACTTTTTTCACACATTGAAAACAAAATTAAGAAATGTAATATGAAGTGCATATGCATTTGTTAAATCATCATGTTGAAAAATTGTATATTACCAATGTAAAATTTTCAGGAGTAATTTTCAAAATATAAATAAGATTAATGTTGTGCTTTAATTGTTACTGCATTTTTCTGTTAATTATGCTTCTGTTCTTTATTTGTTTGTTATATACACTTGGTACTTCATATTTAGCAGACTGTACTCTAGTTTTGTAAGACATTTTGTATATGCTTATAAAAAGTATAGAAACATTCAATTTTCTAAAGCATGATTATTTCTTTTTAAATGGTTCAACCTTACAGAAATTTTTATTTACTATATTTTTCCTTAATTATTTAACAGTTGGTAACCTGAGACTTTTGCTATGTTTAAGGAAAATGGTACAAACATGCAATTTAAGAAAATTCTGACAATTGCACGTGCCGTACAATGCCAACGCCATCATTCACTTGTAGTCGACTACGACAATTAATTCAATGACATCACCTATAGTGCGTCACCTTGCGTCGTTTCTGTTTTGTAACACTATTTAAGCAGTACAAACATACGTGTTATGTATTATGTGTAAATAAATATGTAAAATTTATATCAATACATATTTATAAGTTACAGACTAACGGTTTTTTAAATACCGATAAGAAAAATATTTTGCTAAGCTCCATCATGAGCGTGGCTTAAAAAAGTCGCAGTTTTACCTCACGACAGTATACTAGATATATATTTATAACAATATGAGTCTCGCTTAAGCACTGAAGAAAGTCTCAATCATTGAGCACGTCAACATAATTATTGTGTATATTTATCAAAGATAAACATAAAATGCTAAATTCATATTTATATGTAAATGTGTGAATCATCTTGAAAAAATGTTTACGTCCCCCTAAAATTCGCCTAGTTATAGCTGCTTACGCATATTGTTTTAAAATAATTAAGTTCTTTAAGAATGGAAAATCGTAATCGTATCATCGCGCTCTGACCAGTAATAACATTTAGCAACAATATTCATAACTTTTCATAAATATTTTACTACAATGCATGAAAAATAGTCATCAACCTAAAATAATAATTTTGTATACATAGCGCAGCCTGGGCAAAAAATAGACGCAAGTCGACACAACCGCTACAAGGTAGATAAGATAAGTTGGGTTTGTTTTATGTACAAAATGAGCAAACGGGTTGGGCGAAACAAATATGAATGTTTTGTACATAACCGGGAAAATGCGTCGGGCTTAGTTACTGATAGGCGTAGTATATCGAATTGATAAGATTTCAGAATACAGTCATCGTAATTGTGTAAAATGGTGCACTTGTAATGGGGTCGAAACCACACATAGTTTTATCTTTTATAAAACTATGTACATATATTGCTCTTAGCGTAAGATATTTTCATTTTTCATCTTTATATTCTTAATTTAATTAACCAAAAGGTCCACGCTGCAATTAGTGTTGGTTTTTAATATAAAGTCAAAAATCGGCATCTACGTCATGTCAATTGATTTGATAGTCTTCACCTCTGCGAAACTGTCTTAAAACAAAAGAGTCGCTATTTTTGATTATGTTGTAAAGTTTATCTAATCGTATAGTAACTTACAATCTTATCAACATTAGTCACCAACCACTATGATATGGCCTAAATTTTATAAACAAATAACACAACGAAATTTAAACTTGTGAAGGTCTCTTAAGTGGTTTACTCAAAACAAAATCAAAAATATAAGAAATCGATTTATTTACATGAAAATGTTAACATATTTTATAACAGTTAATATGGTTGTCCACTTTCAGACCGCACAGCATGGTTTCCCACATAAACCTTCAGCTCTGGCGTATGATCCAGTCTCTAATCTTATGGCCATTGGTACACTAACTGGAGCAATAAAAGTTTTTGGGCAGCCAGGCGTAGAACTATATGCCCAGCATACTTTAGTAAATAACTTAGCATCTGAACTTAATGTTCAACTGCTTGAATGGGTATATGGTACCGGACGTATCCTCTCGTTGACCGCAGCCAATCAACTCATTTTATGGGAACCTGTGGGTACAACGCTTGTGCCAATCAAAACACTTCCGTTTGATGGGAAACTGAAAAAAGTTTCGTCGCTTTGCTGTTCACTAAACAAAGATCTTGTATGGATAGGCACCGAAGGTGGCAATATATATCAGTTCGATTTGAAATCATTCACTATACGTGAACCTGTTATTTACCACGATGTTGTTTTGGAACAAGTGCCACCAACCTACAAACTCAATCCAGGAGCTATTGAGTCAATACGTCAGCTGCCAAACGCACTTAACAAGCTACTTATTGCTTACAATCGCGGACTCTGCGTATTATGGGATTTAGATACGTCAGCTGTTGAACGTGCCTATATTGCACCCGGTCATGGTCAAAGTGTGGGGCTATATGTTAACGCTACAGGCACGGAATTTAATTGGTATCACGCAGACGGCTCTTATGCTAGTTGGATTATTGCGAGCGGGGAGCCTCCCAAAAATGTCAACTATGTTCCTTATGGGCCAGATCCATGCAAGAGCATTAACCGGCTTTATAAGGGGAAACGAGGGTAATGTATTTGTTTATTTGAAGCCAACAGCTGGTAACCTTTTTTCATTTCAGAGTCCATGATGTAATCGTTTTCTCTGGAGGTATGCCGCGTTCAGCCTATGGTGATCACAACTGCGTTTCGGTGCATGGCAGCGATGGGCAAAAAGTTTGCCTAGATTTTACGTCAAAAGTCATTGATTTCTTTATCACATACAAGGAAGATAACGAGGCTCTACAGATGCTTGTTGTATTACTTGAGGAAGAGCTGTGCGCTTACGATCTTACTGATTCAATAGTTTCAGCAGTTAAGGCACCTTATCTGCACTCGGTGCATGCATCTGCAGTGACGTGTAATTACCTTGCTTCGCAAGTCACCCAGACGGTATATAGGCGTATTTTACGTGCTGGCGATGAACAGGACATTGACTACAGTAATATTGACTGGCCAATAACAGGTGGTGAGTTACCTGAGGACATCAAACAGTCTGATGAAAACGAAACTACGAAGGAGTATGAGATACTCTTAACTGGCCACGAAGACGGTTCCGTTAAGTTCTGGGAATGTTCTGGGGTGATCTTGAAGCCGATATATAATTTTACAACAGCAAACATATTTGGTCATGAGAACCAGGATGATACAGGAGCCAATGATAGCAATGAACAACTTGACGAGAGTGAACCGCCATTTCGTAAATCAGGATTATTTGATCCCTATTCAGACGACCCTAGATTAGCAGTAAAAAAAATTGCACTGTGTCCAAAAACGGGCCAGTTAATTGTGGGTGGCACCGCTGGTCAAATTGTCATAGCCGATTTTGAAGGAGATGATATAGAGCGTGGCATGCTGAAGTTTAGTTCTATGAACTTGGTTAGCGATCGTGATGGCTTTGTATGGAAAGGACATGACCAGCTTAACGTGCGTCCCAATTTATTAGAAGAAGACGCCGAGTCAATTTGTGAGAATGGTGTCAAAATTAGTGGCGTGCTACAAGTTCTTCCACCAGCTAGCATCACATGTCTGGCACTAGAAGCTAACTGGGGCCTAGTCTCCGGTGGTACAGCGCACGGTTTAGTGTTATTTGATTTTAAAAACTTTGTGCCAGTTTTCCACCGTTGCACTTTAAATCCAAACGACTTAACCGGCGCGGGCGAACAGCTATCGCGGCGCAAATCGTTTAAGAAATCGCTTCGGGAATCCTTCCGTAAGCTGCGCAAAGGAAGGTCCACTCGTAACAATCCAAGTAATCAGGTGTCAACTACTGTAAGTCCCAAGATGAACATTTTTATAAAAATCTTATTCAAAGTGTAATTATATAGTTGGAAGCTCGTCCTGTTGAGAGACAAATAGAGGCGCGCTGCACTGACGATGGCATGGGGTCTATGGTGCGTTGCTTAGTCTTTGCTAAAACCTATGTAACCAATGGTGTGTATAATGACACTCTCTTAAGTCTTTGATTTAGTCCTATTTATTTGCATTGCAGTTAATATTACTTCACCCACTTTATGGTCGGCTACAAACGCGAGCACCGTTTCGGTGTTCCTTTTACATTTACCACCAGCACAAACTGCAGCTACAACAGGACCACCTGCCAGTGGTAACGCAACACCTAAGTCACCGCGTCGCATATCTGCGCAACTGGCCAAGGAAATACAGCTAAAGCATCGCGCTCCTGTCGTAGGCATTTCTATTTTTGACCAAAACGGCTGCCCTGTTGACCAGTTCAGCTATGGCGAGAACGGTACACCGCCCCATCGTGTTCTTATTGCATCCGAGGAACAATTTAAGGTTTTTTCGCTTCCACAATTAAAGCCAATCAACAAATACAAGCTTACGGCTAACGAAGGAGCCCGCATACGTCGCATACATTTTGGATCATTTAGCTGTCGCGTCTCACACGAGCTTTTGCAAAGTCTTAATGCTAACAGCCCGACAAAATTAACACGCACACACGAAGCTCTTGATGGAGTGGCTAATACTGGCGTAGGGACGGCAGCGACCGGTGTTGAAATGTACCATGAGATGGCATTAATTTGTTTGACCAATATGGGAGACATCATGGTTTTATCAGTGCCAGAGTTAAAGCGACAATTAAATGCAGCTGCCGTCAGGCGCGAAGACATCAAGTTAGTGTCAAATATGTTTTAAACTAGGTTTTTGTGCTCATATATGACTTATAATTTTTTTCTTCTTTAAGTGGGATTTCATCGCTTTGCTTTACTAATAGTGGAGAGGCATTATATATGATGTCGTCTTCAGAATTGCAACGAATAGCTTTGGCCACCTCGACAGTTGTACAACCAATGGGCATTGTTAAGGTCGAACCTCTCGGGAATGAAGACAATGAGTGTACCATGCCAGCCAATGATGACGATATTAGCCATAAGGAAGTCGATGCAATTCATGATAGTGTCGAAAATAATACTAGTTCAAGCATACTTGAGCAGTCAATTGCTAAGCAGCGCGCAATGCCGACAGAACATAGCCTCCCGCTCACAAATGGCATAAATATCGGTAGTTCACCTAATCGCGCCAACGAGACCATCACAAGTTCTATAGGCGACATCACTGTCGACTCTGTGCGCGATCACTTAAACACCACTGCTACAACACTTTGTTCAACCACTACAGAGGAAACTGTCGGTAAGCAAAAATGGCTTTGGTCTAATTTTTTTGTGTACATCAAGTCATCGGATAAACCTCCATATTACACCACAATATGGGTGATTCATACAATGTATTTGTCACTGTAAAAGTCACTTAAATACGCTATTTTTGTACTTAATTTTTGCACAAAAAAATTGATCTTTTTATTTACCTTTGTTTTTAGGTTTACGGCAGTAAAATTCAAAACCATTATAACATAAATTTAATAAACATAGTTTTAGGGGCACACCACACTTGACCACCTCTTGCATGCATAATGGAATTTGATTGAAATTTAATTTTTTTTACATTTTAATTTTACACATTCTAATAACATTCTGCCTATAATCCTTGATAGGTCGCTTATCAGTGCTCAGCACGCAAAAAAATCAAACCACTACCAGCGTCAACATGAAAGACATACCTAATATTGATATACCGAATTTATTGGATTTGGCGTCAAAAAGGTGTGTATATTTATAAGGTTGCTACAAAAGTTCCTAATTTAATTAATTAAATTCTCATTTTTAGTAACACCACAGAAACGAGCACAAGCTCGGTCGTCATCAAATCGGTAATAACGAGCATTTCACACGAAAACGTCAACGGTGAAAACGAAACTAGGAAGACTAAAACAACAACCCATGAAGAAAGTCAATTTTAGGCACTTACATTTGAATGAATGCTATAAAATCGCCCCTAACTTTAAAGGAACGTTCAATTCAATATTAACACATTTGCACACATTATATACAAAAGTATATTTAATTATACTTATTATATTGTATACTAAACTTTTGTTATAAATAAGACATTTCTAGACACGCTGAAGAATTCAGCGATTTTTGAAAGTTTTGTCAAAGATTACAAGAATTTCCATATCACTTTTCTATTACATTTTTTTAATAAAACTATAACTTTAAGCCAGACGCTAGCAAGCAGACAAGAATTTTAAAATATTTTTACATTTTAGTTTGATAGTATTGACAATAGCTGAAAAGTTTAGTGAGTAAGATTATTACATTTCCATGTAAACATTTCGACAAAAAGTTACAATACAAAATAACTTTGCTTTGTGTTATAAAAACTTTTGTTACGCATTTTATAAAAGTATTAATGAATTAAAAGTATAACTAATATAAGTAAGCTTTCGAACACTATATAGGTAATTTGCCGGTTCTCATATCGACATTTATTTTCCACGCTTCCGTATTGGTTTTGTACTGTTCAAGCAATAAGTGTTGAATAAAAATCAGCAATTCACATTCTACAAGTAAACTTTAATATCATGCTCTTAAAACAGGGTGTCACCCCGGAGTTAAATTGAGATTGAGATGAGCATTGAGACTGATGACAACGTAAAATAATCGCCTATTATCCTACTTTATTTATCCATTACTTTAATCACAGCAAATTTGGAATATGGCTGAACGTTCCACCTCTGCAATTTCCGATATGGTATGTGCCACATGAAACTCTCTGTCAGTTGCGTTCATTGTTGTATTTGGGTACATATCGATAGTAAAATTAAAGGGCCACATTGCCGTACAAAAGAAACAGGTTTGCAGGGTTAGCGAGACCACAATTTAAGGTGACCACATTTAATGTGACCACATTTTCCACAAGGTGGCGTTTTGTGGTCTAGGGAGAAGTTGCCACATTATAAAGAACTAAAAGTGAGGCAGATCAGTTCCTGGCGCTTAATATTTCATATGTTGCGATCGAGGTTTTAATTTTCTATGGAAGTGCATAAGCCCTCCATCATATTTTTTTTACTTTGTGGAATAGAACTTGACGTGTGTTCGTATAAATAATGTTTAAATTGTGCTAATTTTGTGTTAAGTGTTTAGGTGGCCGACGGCAGGTCATGCCATTTTTTTTCTGCACTGTTCCCAATGGAAGACTGGCAGCAACTGACGACTATAAAAAACAGTTGCCAGCTAGCCCTCATTTATCCATTCATTACTACAATCTCGGAAACCATTGCGAAAAGTGTTGACAGTTTAACAATATGTAAAAACAATTCTGACACAAGTACAGAATTGTGTGTCTGGTGTTTTTTTTTTTTTTTTGTATTTAAATAACATGCCCGAACTTCTTTGACATCATGGGGCTACTGGACTGAATGGACTAATTAAACAAACTTGACTATATAACTCGGACTGACTGGACTTCGTACACGGACTTGACTTTGCGTATTTACTTGGACATCTGGGACTGAGGCGTGACTTCTGGTAAGTTCGAGCTCACACAGGATCCATTAACCAATAAGAGGATATTGCTACTTAAATCCCCGGGTAACCAGCACAATATCGAGGTCATATAATATATCAATTCATCATGTTTCAAATTACAAAGGTTGCAGCAGCTTGAATCAAATAGTAAATATCAATACCACAGTACGCCAGTCAAAAAGAAACAAACAGCAGCAGCAACAGCAGAAACAACATCAGCAGCAGCAAGAACAGCGGCAGCAGCAGCAGTAACAGCTTCAATCATAAACCATCAACAACAGAATCATGAGCAGCAGCAAATACAACAAACCAGATACTCAAATATAAAAGCCGCCAATGGGAAGCTCAACAGCGCCAAGTACAACCAAAATTTCCGTTTTCATAGACAAAAACAAGAGGAGAATGCATCAAAATGACAAAAACAACGACAAGAATAGCCACGCCAACACAAAAATAATCAGCAGCGTCACCAGTAAAATGACCTACACCTAAATTCTAATTGACCAGGTCCCACCACTGCGGCAAAAACAAGAAACTAGGAAGGCTTAAACAACACCCCATGAAGAAAGTCAATTTTAAGCACTTACGTTTGAATGAATGCTATAAAATCGCCCCTAACTAACTTTAAAGGAACGTTCAATTCAATATTAACACATATGCACACATTATATACAAAAGTGTATTTAATTATACTACTTACATTTTATACTAAACTTTTGTTATAAATAAGACATTTCGAGACACGCTGAAGAATTCAGAGATTTTAGAAAGTTTTGTCAAAGGTTACAAGAATTTCCATATCACTTTTCTATTAAATTTTTTTTATAAAACTATAACTTTAAGCCAGACGCTAGCAAGCAGACAAGAATTACAAGAATTACACATATCGACAAAAAATTACAATACAAAATAACTTTGCTTTGTGTTATAAAACATTTTGTTACGCATTTTATAAAAGTATTAAAGAATTAAAAGTATAACTAATATACGTAAGCTTTCGAACACTATATGGGTAATTTTGCCGGTTCTCATATCAACATTTATTTTCCACGCTTCCGTATTGGTTTTGTACTGTTCAAGCAATAAATGTTGAATAAAAATCAGCAATTCACATTCTACAAGTAAACTTTAATATCATTCTCTTAAAACAGGGTGTCACCCCGCAGTTGAATTGAGATTGAGATGAGCATTGAGACTGATGACAACGTAAAATAATCGCCTATTATCCTACTTTATTTATCCATTACTTTAATCACAGCAAATTTGGAATATGGCTGAACGTTCCACCTCTGCAATTTCCGATATGGTATGTGCCACATGAAACTCTCTGTCAGTTGCGTTCATTGTTGTATTTGGGTACATATCGATAGTAAAATTAAAGGGCCACATTGCCGTACAAAAGAAACAGGTTGGCAGGGTTAGCGAGACCACAATTTAATGTGACCACATTTAATCTGACCACATTTTCCACAAGGTGGCGTTTTCTGGGCTAGGGAGAAGTTGCACATGATAAAGAACTAAAAGTGAGGCAGATCAGTTCTTGACGGTTAATTTTTCATATGGTGCGATCGAGGTTTTAAATTTCTATGGAAGTGCATAAACCCTCCACCATATTTTTTTTTTACTTTGTGGAATAGAATTTGACGTGTGTTCGTATAAATAATGTTTAAATTGTGATAATTTTGTGTTAAGTGTTTAGGTGGCCGACGGCAGGTCATGCTATTTTTTTTCTGCACTGTTCCCAATGGAACACTGGCAGCAACTACAACAAAATTACAATACAAAATAACTTTGCTTTGTGTTATAAAAACTTTTGTTACGCATTTTATAAAAGTATTAATGAATTAAAAGTATAACTAATATACGTAAGCTTTCGAACACTATATAGGTAATTTGCCGGTTCTCATATCAACATTTATTTTCCACGCTTCCGTATTGGTTTTGTACTGTTCAAGCAATAAGTGTTGAATAAAAATCAGCAATTCACATTCTACAAGTAAACTTTAATATCATTCTCTTAAAACAGGGTGTCACCCCGCAGTTGAATTGAGATTGAGATGAGCATTGAGACTGATGACAACGTAAAATAATCGCCTATTATCCTACTTTATTTATCCATTACTTTAATCACAGCAAATTTGGAATATGGCTGAACGTTCCACCTCTGCAATTTCCGATATGGTATGTGCCACATGAAACTCTCTGTCAGTTGCGTTCATTGTTGTATTTGGGTACATATCGATAGTAAAATTAAAGGGCCACATTGCCGTACAAAAGAAACAGGTTGGCAGGGTTAGCGAGACCACAATTTAAGGTGACCACATTTAATCTGACCACATTTTCCACAAGGTGGCGTTTTCTGGGCTAGGGAGAAGTTGCACATGATAAAGAACTAAAAGTGAGGCAGATCAGTTCTTGACGGTTAATTTTTCATATGGTGCGATCGAGGTTTTAAATTTCTATGGAAGTGCATAAACCCTCCACCATATTTTTTTTTTACTTTGTGGAATAGAATTTGACGTGTGTTCGTATAAATAATGTTTAAATTGTGATAATTTTGTGTTAAGTGTTTAGGTGGCCGACGGCAGGTCATGCTATTTTTTTTTCTGCACTGTTCCCAATGGAACACTGGCAGCAACTACAACAAAATTACAATACAAAATAACTTTGCTTTGTGTTATAAAAACTTTTGTTACGCATTTTATAAAAGTATTAAAGAATTAAAAGTATAACTAATATACGTAAGCTTTCGAACACTATATGGGTAATTTGCCGGTTCTCATATCAACATTTATTTTCCACGCTTCCGTATTGGTTTTGTACTGTTCAAGCAATAAATGTTGAATAAAAATCAGCAATTCACATTCTACAAGTAAACTTTAATATCATTCTCTTAAAACAGGGTGTCACCCCGCAGTTGAATTGAGATTGAGATGAGCATTGAGACTGATGACAACGTAAAATAATCGCCTATTATCCTACTTTATTTATCCATTACTTTAATCACAGCAAATTTGGAATATGGCTGAACGTTCCACCTCTGCAATTTCCGATATGGTATGTGCCACATGAAACTCTCTGTCAGTTGCGTTCATTGTTGTATTTGGGTACATATCGATAGTAAAATTAAAGGGCCACATTGCCGTACAAAAGAAACAGGTTGGCAGGGTTAGCGAGACCACAATTTAATGTGACCACATTTAATCTGACCACATTTTCCACAAGGTGGCGTTTTCTGGGCTAGGGAGAAGTTGCACATGATAAAGAACTAAAAGTGAGGCAGATCAGTTCTTGACGGTTAATTTTTCATATGGTGCGATCGAGGTTTTAAATTTCTATGGAAGTGCATAAACCCTCCACCATATTTTTTTTTTACTTTGTGGAATAGAATTTGACGTGTGTTCGTATAAATAATGTTTAAATTGTGATAATTTTGTGTTAAGTGTTTAGGTGGCCGACGGCAGGTCATGCTATTTTTTTTCTGCACTGTTCCCAATGGAACACTGGCAGCAACTACAACAAAATTACAATACAAAATAACTTTGCTTTGTGTTATAAAAACTTTTGTTACGCATTTTATAAAAGTATTAATGAATTAAAAGTATAACTAATATACGTAAGCTTTCGAACACTATATAGGTAATTTGCCGGTTCTCAT